TTACAGTACCTGCTGGGGTCAGTCCTTCTCAGTGGGGGCGTTCATTTCAGCAAAAAAAGAGAAAAGTGGACTTCCTTCTCCCCAGGAGGCTTGGGTGTGTGAGAGCTTCACCCACAGGGACCCACCTTAAAAAGCCCGGGGCAACAGGTTTCACCTGCCGAGCTCATTTTGCTACGTGCCCAGGCCCAGTGCCAGACCAATCCAATCTGCATCTGAGTGTGGGGCCCAGGCACAGGGGTTTTTTTCACAGCTCCCACAGGGATTTTAATCTGCAGCCAGATTGGAAAACACGGCTCCGACGCAGTGATTCTGGATCAGGGGCAATTCTGCTCACGCCCTGGGAACATTGGGCCGGGGTCTGGGGACATGTTAATTGGCCACATCTGGGGGTGGTTCTGGGGGACAGCCCAGGGTGCTGCTAAATCTCCTAAAACACACAAAACGACCCCCTCAAAACAAAGATTTCATTGGCCCGCAAAGGTGACCAGTGCTGCTGCTGAGAAACTCCTGCTCTAGAGAAAAGAGTTAGTGGGAGAAACTGCATGCTCTATCTCTAGAGAGACTCCCATGAAAGAGGAAAAGAGGCGGTAAGAAGCTTTCAGGAGGGAGACTTGCAACCTGGACACTCCGTCCTGCCAGGCCAAAAGCAGCTCTGAACGGACCTTGTCTAAGATAAGTGAATAATGCCCAGTGTGTGCTCTCATCGTTAGGTGACGTCGAGGAAGAGTAGGAAGCTATTGTTCACTAGAACCTGCCCTCAAATGTCAAATGAATAATAACTGAGCAATGCTTTCAGAAGAAAAACGATCAGCAATAAACTAAGGAGTAATGTTTCTTCCACGAATTTTTTCTTCGTTGCTGATAACCAGAAATATGTGCTTCTAGAATTAAAATAAAATTCTTGTTACTATTTTTAGACTGGATTCGTAATGTCCCATGGGTGGACTCCTGGTAAAGAAAGGCCTGGTGACCAGAATCATGCCTGTCTGGAAGGCTAACAATAAAGCAGAGCTATTGCTGCTGAAAGAACCTGAATCATCCGTGGCAGCCATGACCTGAGCTTAAAAAGTTTTCTGTGAAAAAGCAAAGATCTGCCAGCTGATACCTGGAAGCAAAAGCCCTTGGTCTCCTAGTGAAAGGGAACGCTTTCGCCTAAAAAAGTGGAATCCAACCTTGGATTTCAATGGAATCGGGTAAGCGAATCCCCCATTCTCCAGGAGGCTATCAGTGTGTGTACATTTATAGCTAGAAGTGGCTATTCATAATTACTTAATTTACAAACCTGGAATACAGCAAGTAACTTGAATGAATAGACAAATGCCTTAATGTCTAGATGTGATAAGTGTGTTGAATCTGCTTCCTCTTTGCAAATGGATCTTTCTACAAATTGAAATCAAGTAGTTGAATAATAACTTCTAAACAAGGAAATGCATTCATGAGCCTTTTGTTCAATTTGCAGATTTTTTTTTCCCCCTGTGGTTTTTCCCCCCTGTCTTTGCTTTTGAGTCAGCTACTAATTGAAAAGTGGCTATATAGCCTTAGATATTTTTAAGAGAAAACTGCCTAAAAGTTGGAAATTAAGCCAAATGTTTTAACCAAAGGAAACTCTTGGAGGTCAAGTTCATCTACCAATTAATCCAGTAGCTTGCCACTGAAGGCCCAAGAAGAATTAAAGAAGCTCAAGGCACAGTCAACTAAAACAGCAATTGTTTTCACTAATGTTTCCTCCCTGTACATATTGTGTCTTCTTGGAGGGATGTATATCCTTACAAGTAGGACAATATCCCACCATCTATCTCTGATTCATTCTGCCATATGATGCAGACACTTCCACCTACTCTCACCTCCTTTCTGCTCCTATAAAAGCATGCCAGTGCTCATCCAAAACACTCAGATCTCACACCAACTGCAACAGAATGACTCTGTAAATGACTTGGCAAATCTGCAATTTGAGATTAAACTCGCTACTGGTTCCTATCTGTTCACAAACCAATGACTCAAGCAACGTGTGCGGTGACTTGTAAGTATAAAAAATCATGTCTTACCATCCATATCAAAAATTAATTTGCAACAGCAGGATAAATACAAGCTGCCAGTGCCCAAATTTATAGGCTGATGATCCATGAACATTGTGCCACCTCATTTTCCAATTAATTACTGAACTAAAAACATAATGTAAATGTGCTACAAATATACCTTGGTGAGGATATCAACTGTCAAAAGATTTGTCACTTTAGAATGAGAAAAGAAGTAAACAGAAAAATATGAAATACAGTGACATTCTAAATGACACATCAAATTTTTAACTACATAAAATGGCTACATTTTTAAAAATCGTTTGCCTGGCCCACGATATTTATCTGAATCCAAGCAACAATAAGTCATGATGTAATGTCATCCTTATCAAGAGACATTCCTTACTTTATGCCAGGCATCGTTTAAAAGTCACACCTAAAAACTTTTTTTGTATACTAAGAAAATATAATACGTTGATTAAACTCAATGAGTTCTTTACTTTAAAAAGTCGTTTTGTAGAGAGAATTGTTGTGTAAGTTAACCACCTGCCACTAAGTATTTTTTTGTTGTTCAACATACACTCTCCTTAAAATAGTGCACACCATTTACTTCTCACGTTCATCAAAAAGTAATCAAGAAATGGAAAAGTCATTAACGTCACCTTCCTGTTAACCCATGACCCCCTGAAGACAAACTTCCTGTCAATGTCCCACCTTTGGTAGTAGCACAACCGAAATATCTTTCACCATGACTTTCATCCGGGTGAGAGCTGTGCAGCCAAGGCTGCTCTCAGCATCTGGCAGCATCTCGGCCCCTCCTGGAAAGAGTGAGTGTCATGCAGTGAACTTAGAAGCCCCCCAGCCAGGAGGCCTCTCTACACAGCAGAAGAATTGGCTTCTCCTTGTCTCCATCTCCCAACTCAAACAACCAATCATCCTACCTTCCCCACCCTTTCAAGTTCCACGTGTGCTTAAGAGAACATTGGATGCATTAGAAGCCAAGCTTTAGGAGTCAGTTTTCAGCACTACAAGAAAAGGATTAGGATGAAATGGAATCCAACAGGCAAATCCCCAAGTGCAATATTGGAAATTTACTCCATTGTGTCGCCGCTAGAATTGGAAGCCACCACTGCTCAAAGCTGCCTGCCGCTGACTCCTGAGCAGCTTTCAAACAGAGTGAGAAACCTCACGTATTCTGGATGAAAAGAGCTCACAGTCCATAAAACCAATCATTTTCGTTCCAACTCAACCAACCATAGGTAACATAAAAGGATGGTAACGAGTTTTTCATTTGTTTTTTAAAGAAATGATTTTTTCCCCCCTCTAGAGTTCAAGGTGGTTTCAGAACCAAGATGCAGAAAATTAAGCCTCTGCCAACGGTTTACAAACTTGGATTTAGAGCCACCTCAGCAAATGCAGTGCATTTTATGCTGTGGAAAGCAAAGGAGTGTCCAAACACATCTGTACATTTTGTTAAAGGAACATTTAGACAACCGAAAAAATATTTCTCATGTTAAAATCAAAGAGCATGCCATTTAGAATTCATTCCAGGGACCTTGTTTGGGAGGGTTGGGTGGTTTTGAGTGAGTAGAGAAAGAAATCATTTGATACATTTTAGATACAAAGTTAAGTCACACATTCATGCTAAGGCCCCCAACACCATAAAAAAAATCTTCAAGGTCAAGTAAGGCATATTTATAGGCATTCAGGCAACCCATCATCAAGCCTGTGCATTGCCTTTCTAATGATATTGGTTTTGCACCAGCAGCTCTCTCCAGGTTCTGGCTGCTCTGTGCCTGCTGCCCAGAGGCTCTCTGAGGCCCATCCAAAGCCAGCACGGAACCTTGCCTCATCACCACGCCTCATCACCACAGCGATGAAGCAAGCATTTTGCCAGGCCACTCACTCTGCCCGCTCTCAGCGGCTGCCCCACAGGACTGGGGGACTATGGTGGTGCTGAGAGGGCTGGCACCACCATCTTGTAGCTATGGGTGCTGCCATCTTTGTGATGGAGTGATGGTTAATTTGCATATTACCCTTTTATTAGGATAATCATATATATATAAAAAGCCAGCAACCAGAATGCCATAACCACCTGCCACTATGACATCCACTGTGGCCAGTAAACCGGCTGATGTGGGGTGGGCTGCCAGCCAACCTCCCACAGCCCTTCCCCCTGCAGACCCCACCCCTAGGCCTGCAGCCTCTCCCCCCGTCAGCTCTGCCTCCAATCGGGACAGGGCCACTGGCCAATCACCCATGGCCCCTCTCCCAGGCTGCTGGCCCCATTAGCCCCCCACCCCCACCCCATTTGGGGCAGGGGCAGCTGGCCAACCGCCACAGCCCCTCCTCATGACCAAGGACCAATCACCCTCGCCCCTTTCCCCAACTGGGCAGGGCCAGCCAGCCAACCTTCTGCCGTCTCTTCTAGACAGGCCTGATTCTGATCTGCCCCTGATTGGGGCCAGGCCAGCGGACCTCACCTGTGCATGAATTTCTGCACTGGGCCTCTAGTTTATTACAATTGGATTAGAAACCCTTTTAGTCACCTGTTCCACCAGTGAGCCCCAGCAGGAGACTGCACACAACTAGGAAAATGCTCAAGTTCAAGACGGAAGAATCTTAAGAGACTGGGTCTGGTTTCATCTTCGGTTTCCCATAAATCTCACCCCGACTAGTCAGCGACCCCTGGAATTATTGTTCCTCTCCCTCCTCTCGCCCCTCCTCCTCTCCTCCAAGCTTACTTGACTGATACCTGTTTAAACCAAAACCAACCGAGTGGAAGAAGCACACATCATGAATTAGGGCAAATCTTTGCTCCTCCCCCAGCCCACCCCCTGGCCAGGGACTGCACATTCTAATCTGTAGGGACCGCTCTTTCTCATTCAGATCTCTACCCCACCACCACCACCACCACCACCACCACCACCACCACCCCCCCAGAGCTGCCCGGCCAAAAGCCATCCCCAGCACGTACTGACCCACCGTTCATGCCACTGTAGACGTTCCGGTGATGGGGCGACCCTTCCTCCTGCGCCTGTCTCCGGAGGGTGCCCTCCCTGCTGCCTCCGCCACCTCCGCCGCCTCCACCCACGTGTTTGTGGTCAGGGCTCCCCGCGTAATGCTGCTTGAGGTGCTCGGGGCTGGTGCCCCTGGCCCTGGGCAGGTGCTCCAGGCTCCCGCCGAGGGCGTGTTTCTGCAGGTGCTCCGGGCTCCCGCCGCTGTGCCGGGCGTGCTCGGGGCTGCCCCCGGCCCGGTGCTTCTGGAAGTGCTCGGGGCTCCCGCTCAGCACGTGCTTGGGCAGCGTCTCGGGGCTGCTGCCCGGGTGCGGCGGGTGCCTCTGCTGTTCGGGGCTGCCCTTGCCCAGGGGTTTGTGGTGCTCGGGGCTGGGTCCTTTGAGTGCTTTGGGATGATCCGGGGCCCCAGAGGCCCTGGGTTTCTGCAGGTGCTCCGGGCTGGTGCTCCTGTGCTTGGCGGCGTGCTCGGGGCTGCCCTCCGCCCGCAGCTTCTGCAGGTGCTCGGGGCTGCCGCCGCCCGCATGCTGCTGCTTGTGGTGGTCCGGGCTGTCGGTGCTGCCCGCGCTGGAGGTGCTGCTGCCGTCGCCCACGTCCCGCACGTAGGGGACGGTGGAGGAGGCGGTGAGCTGGCACAAGCTGGCCTGGCTGTCGATGGAGCAGCGGCTGCCCGCGCAGCCCGCGCCCTTCTCCTCGTCCAGCAGCACGCACAGCTCCTTGAGCTCCAGGTTCTCCTTCACCACCTCCTCCTGCTTCGCCTCCAGCTCCTTCAGCTTCTGCAGGTACAAGGCCACCTCCTTGTGCATCACCCCCGCGGTGAAGCGGCCCAGTCTCTGCCACTCCCGGGACACCCTCTTGCCTTTCTGCCGGTCGTCGTCCAGGAAGCAGCAGAGGTCCCGCAGCTCCTGGTTGTCCTCCTGCAGTTTCTGGTTGATGTCCTGGGAAGAGAGAGAGACAGCCGCTCAGGAACCTGCACGTTGAGGCTGCATCAGGCTTAGTGAGACTCAGGAGAGGCAGCCTAGAGCTGGCCAGTTCTTCCTGCGGTGACCGGAGGAGGGGAGGGGAGAGGAAGCGTCAAGTTTGTAAAAATAAAAACAATAGGTATCGCCAAAGCCGGTTTGGCTCAGTGGATTGAGCGTCTGCCTGTATACTGAGGGGTCCCAGGTTCGATTCCGGTCAGGAGCATGTTCCTTGGTTACAGGCACACCGCCAGTGTGGGGTGTGCAGGAGGCAGCTGATCGATGTTTCTCTCTCACCGATGTTTCTGGGTCTCTGTCCCTCTCTCCTCCTCTCTGTAAAAAAAAATCAATAAAATATATAAAAATTAAAATAAATAATAGGTATTGGTTGTGCTCCCTGTCTACTGCTTTCCGTGTATTATCCCATCTAATTCACCAAAACACTTAGGGGATCATGATTATGACAGTTCTTTTACAGGAGAAAACACTAGACCTTGCCAAGTTTGTCTCGTCCAAGGTCATCCATTCAGTATTAGTGAGCAGTTTTTCATTGACAGGGAATCCTTAAAAAAAATAAAAAATAAAAAAATAAAATGAAATTTTAAAAATCCGCTCTCCTGTCCCACCTTCAAGGAAGAGAGATGGCTGCTCCTGACTTGTGACATGTTTAAAAGGTCTTTTATCTCCCAAACAGGCACTGCCTAGGCTTTCAGGCCATGGCATGGGATTCCTGCCTTAATTTCCCCCGCCAGCAGGAACAGCACAACTGCCCTCTGGGGGCACCTCAGTCCTGCAAGTCCAACCAGTCACTGGCCACACCCCCCCTCATCTCCCAGGCTCCACACATGAAACACAGCAATGCTGAGCTCATGTTCAGACTGCCCTCCCCAAACTGCACCTCTTGGCAAATGCCGCCTCCACCCGTCCTGTTGTTCTTCATAAGAACCTGTCTGTTGTTGGTGCCTCCTTCTTCCTTGCCTGCCACTCCTGAGCTCAATGAGTCTTCTGAGATCTAGCTCCAAAATGTATCTCATCTCATCACTCCTATGCTAAAAGCCCTTAATAGCTTCCCACTGCCCTTAGGATAAAGTGCAAAATCTTTCAAGTGCTCATGAGGCCCCTTCTGGGCCTGCCTGCTTCTCCAACATGAATGGTGAGTCACTGATTCATTCACAAATATTTAGTAAGCACCTATTATGGGCCAGACACCGATCCAGCTGATGTGCTACAAGACCCTGACATCCTTCAGCTTTCATTCTAATGGGGAAGACTAGCAAAAAGCAAATACAGAACATAATGTCCTATAGAGGAAAGTGCTGGGAAGAAAATTAAAGCAGATTAAAGAATACCTTTAACAAGGAGGAGGAGGAGGAGGAAAGAGGAGGAGGAGGAGGAGAATGAAGAGGCATCTCAGCAAAGGCCTGAGTGAAATGAAAAAGTAAGCATTTGAGAGATGACCCGAGGCAAAGAAAATGCCAAGTATAAAAGCCCTGAGTCAAATGTGGCTCCAGTGAGGAGAGAAAGGAGGGCAAGGTGGAAAAGAGGTCTGAGAGGTATCAGGGCCAGGGAATGCAGGGCCTCGTCAGCCATGGGGAGGACTCTGAATTGGTGAGCAGAGGATAGAGGAATGACATGATAGGATTCAATTTGTAAAGAATCACCACAGTTTTGTGTGAACAACAGATTAGCTGGGGGTTAGGGGGAGGCAGATAGAAGAGAGAGAGACAGACTAAGATGGAAGCCCAGAGACCAGCTAGGAGGCTACTAGGCTGGTCCGGATAGAGGGAGATGATGGTGGCTTTGGCACATGGTAGCAGTGGAGAAGGTGAGAACATCCCCTTCGCGTCATGCACTGAGCCCCACCAAGATACCCTGGTTCTGGACCTCGAGGGACAAGCCCTTCCCCTCCTTCACTTGGAATGCTTCCCCAGCCTTTTACATAACCCTTAGGTCTCACTCTGTTACTTCCCCATAGAGGCTCTCCTTCACCACTGCCCCCTATGCTCTACCATTATCCCTTAGACTTTGCCTCTGTTGCATTTAATATTACAATTTGTAATCACATATGGTTGAGGGACATATGGTTGAGTGTGGCTATTAGTCATGTCTTCATCCTCATCAAACTGGTCATGAGTGAAGACTCCCCCTCACCTCCACTGCACCATCTATTCTGTTCGCTTCTGTGCATCCAGAGCTCCGCGCCCCCACTGTGTTACAGAAAACCGAAGGAGAACAAAGCAATTCTTAGAGAAATGGAGTTACATTTATTACGCGCAGGTCCAGGGGAAAATGTCTCTCAAATTCTGGGCCCCAACATGGCAGGAATTCTTCCTATTTATACGATTTTACCTTCTTTGTCTCCCAAATATGCAGTGTTTCCGGCCCCCTTTTGCAAGTTCTTAAAGAGCCCCTGTGTACTGGGGCCTTGAGACCTCAACCAGAAGCCTGGCCTGGCACCAGCACTGATAACCTTGTCTGGGGAAGGTTAAATTTACAGAAGCCAAATAGCAGGGTTAAAATTTCAAACAGCAGTTTTCATACAAGATGGATGCTTCAACTGTAGATACCTGAAACCCAGGAATTTAAATATTAACTGAGAAGTCCCCGTTTATGCTCCATTCACACATACAATATAAAAGGAGTAACAGTTTCTTAAAGCACCAGGGTTTGGTGGGGGTGCGACCTGAGTGGCTACCTAAGACTTCCCCAGTTTTACAAAGCCCGAAAATTTCGGGCCTTGTGACTGCTGTCTAATCCAGAACCAGAGGTGCTCTAGGGGGCCTGAATTCTCTTAAATTCAGATTGATTCCAATACTTTCCCTGCTACTGACTTAAAAATAAACTAGAAAACATCTGTCAACCATGCCCTGCATCTCCAAAGATGATGCTCAAGGCCTGAGGAAGAAGAGGATCTGTGCAGCTTAGTGGTCAACTCCACTGCCAACTCTTGGCATCACCGTCGCCTGTTTCCTTGTCTCTAACACCCATCCATTCCTTTGCTTCTCAATGCCACTTTCTGGAAGTGCCAAAAACTTCTCACCTGGCCTCCTTCTCTTGGCCTGCCTCTGCCCTTTGGTCTTCCCCATTCCCACACCTGCTCCAGTCCAAGCTGTGTTTGGCCAGACTGGTGTCCAAAAACTCCCTGCAGGTTCCGTCTCTCCTGCATATGAACCCTTTTATAACCCTGCACATCACCTCCCCTTTGCCAGGGAAAATGAATGAACCATTGGCCACCTTTAACTTCCTCTCGGTCCGCTCACTCTGAACCCTGATTTTGTCTAGTTTTCTAATTAGAAAATATGATCCTCTCCCTTATATGAACTTATAAAAGGAGAAATTCCTCTAAGAAGACTCCCCCAACCCTAGAACGACACCTGGAGTACAGCAGCACCAGGAATGAATGAATGAATGAATGAAAGAATTTTCCCACTCTTCACTTACTGCCTATAAGATACACTAACTAGAGGACTTTTTTTTTTTTTTTTAAGGTAGATATCTTAGCTTCTGGAGACTAGGGTTCATCCCAATGTCCTTATTTGCATATTTGACACATCTGGCAGGGTGCTTTGCATAGAGTAAACACTTAATATGTGTTTATGGACTAACCAACTCTCTAAAGCCCTACACCTGTGTTCAAACAGGATAGAGCTCTAGCTACTGCCATGTTGGAGTCTACAGTAGTAAGAGAATAAATTATCCCTTGACACTGATGCTTTTTAAGGGAAACCAGAAGCTGTGGACATTCTGAGAAAATAAAACTAAACAAAATTAACCTTTCTAAGCTTCAAAAACTATTCCACATTTAGTTCAATCCTGTCATTTCATAGAAATTTTAAGTCATGTTTTTCTTCCTGTAACTAAATTTCCACCTGAAAATACTTTCCCTCTGACTATCCTACAATATTTCTGATTTCTCCAGAACTGGGAAGTAAACAGGACTTGTACTACCGCAGGCTTCAAGGAGTTAATGCTCTTTCCAGACGGAGTGAAACAAATACTTCTCAGTTCCAGCTGGGGGAGAAAGGACGGGTATTGGCCCATTCCCTCTCCTTCAGCACAGCTCCTTCTTCCTATTGTTAGTTTTCCTGAAAACAGTATTTACTCTTCAGTGCTGAGCTACTTCCTTTGCCTTCTGATGAACAGACAGTTAAGCAACCAGCTTGATAACAACCTTGTGAGCCAGCTTCTTCAAATCTGCCACATTAAGACTTGGGCTTTCTTTTAAAAAAGCTAAAGGAGTTCATCACTGCCAAACCAGAATTATATGAATTGCTGAAGGGGGTTCTTTAGGAAGAGGAAGAAAATAAAGATAAAGATTATGAACAACAAATATGTAACTATCAACAAGTGAATCTAAAAACCAAGGGAATTAAAAAACCTGATGAACAATATTAACTGTTGAATATAATAGAATCAGAGGTATGGAAGGGGAGTGGACTGACAATTCTCGGGGAAAAGAGGAGTGGGGAGTGCGGGAAAAGACTGAACATAAACTGTGCACCTATGGATGAGGACAATGGGGGGGAAGGGGGGGAACCTGGTGGAGGGGGGAAAAATGAGGAACTTTTGTAATAATATGAACAATAAAGATTTATTTTAAAAAAACAAAAACATGAAGTGTTCTTATAACGTTGCCATGTGCCACCAGACATTATCCTTCTGTTTAAAATGGACTTTTAAAAGATTAAACCATCTTATAGCACACAACCCAAAATTTTATTCATAAGACTCTCAAGTAATGTACCTGTGGTTAAAGTAGAATTGTTTTTGTTATTTTTCATCATTGCAGGATGGGAAATCAGTGTTTTGGGGAGCAAGGGGGGAAATTAATGTGCTGCCAAGATCCACTTCCCCCAAACCCACCCCCACTTCCTAAAATGCCAGATCCTAGCAGCTTGAGTGTTGGTACATGGTCAGCGATGAACAATGTGCTTCTCAGAAATACAGTTCCTTATAACATCAGAACCCTAATCTCTTCC